CAGGTGGGTCTCGAACCTGCGGGCTCAGGCAATCCACTCACCTCAGTCTCCCAAGGCGTGGGATTACAGGCTGAGCCACCAAGCCCAGCTTAAGATTAATTTATTATTGAAGAAAAAAATGTTTTATAAATGTGGTGTAGCCTAAACATACAGTGTTTACAAAGTTTACAGTAGTCATGTCCTAGGCCTTCACTTTCACTCACCACTCACTCACTGACTCACCCAGAGGAACTTCCAGTCCTGCTCTATTCAAGGTAAGTGTCCTATACAGGTGTACCGCATTTTATCTTTATCAGATTTGTAGTATAATTGTAGTATGTTTATATATGTTTAGATTCACAAATTGCTACAATTGTCTACAGTGTTCAGTACAGTACCATGCCTAGAAACTATAAGCTATACCATATAGCCTAGGTGTGTAGTAGGCTTGTGAGTACACTTGATGATGTTCAAACAATGATGAAATCACTTAATGATGCATTTCTCAGCACATGTCCCCGTTGTTAAGCAGCTCATGATTGTATTCTGTTCCCTAAATACGGTGCAACTAACACTTTAACCCATACACTCTACTCAAGTGCAATGAGTCCTTGCATATCTTACGAGCCAGAGGATCCTGATTTTGAAAATCTAGCCATAACCCTGAAAATAAACATCATCTAAACTAATAAGAGACAAGTTTTGCTTTTTCAGTTTGTTGGCTTCTATTGCACAAGTGTGATATCCAGCAGTGTTCACAATGTAGATACCCCATAAATACTGTGCATATCAATACAAGCAAATAATTAGAAACAGCTTGCATTAGCACAGCTGCTCTAGATTCAGATGGAAAGGTTAAACTTATACTTTATCCACTGCTTTTTGAAGATTAAAGGGAAATAATGTTGGAAAGGGGCAACCACAATTGATTTATGCATCATTCCCCAGCTTCCGTGATTATAAGGTCAGGCACATCAGAATCAGACAACTCACATATGCCCTATAAACTTCTCTATCCTTTTAGCAGGAAGGATGCCTCCCCTGATAGTGCTTACAAAATAGTGAAGAGCTCTAACAAAAGCAAACATATCGTCATTCATGTATTCTTTCAATAAGCACCGACTGCTTAGGATATAAAAAATATTAAACTGGGACCTACAAAAAGGCATAAGACTCTGACCCTTCCCTTGGGGGAATAGAAACAAGACAAGTACATGATTAATGGTTGTTTACTAGTGAAGGGATGAACAGTCATAGCAAGTGACCATCTAATTTACTGTCTAAACCAGGAGATCACTGAGAGTGGGAAAAGGGCTCCACAGATAAACATGCTGATTTCACAGGTATAACTGGGATTCTCACAGGCACACCCTAGCCACAGATAACTCCAGCTTTCAAAGTCTACACACCAAAAATACACTTTTTTCTTGAGTTTTGCCTTAATCTTTCCTATGTGGCCAAATCTACACTGGAGCAATTACGTTAGGTTAAATTCAAGTACTTTGAGAATCGAGAGGAAAATTTTTCAATCCCCTACTGAGGTTTTGTAACCTATTCTGACATTTTCTATTTCCCTAACATATCAAAGAATATTTCATCTTTCTATTACGGAAAAACTCAAATAACATTTATTGAGCATGCAAGGCACTGACCTAGGGACTCCAGACACAAAGATGAAAAAGGCAGAGTTCCTGACTTTGAGGAGTTTGCTATCTACAAAATCTTTCACACAAATTCTAACATTCTTACACACTGAATTTAAGAAAGTGTTATCTAATTAAATACAAAACAATGTGTGAGAAATTGTTTTTCAAAATTATTTCATAAAGGGGTTCTTTCATAATATATTTAGGTGTTTACCTGGAGCTCATTTATTACTTGAAGAGAAAAAACTAGACCGAGAACTTTAAGGCTGGGGTTTGAAGTCACTCTAGCTAGACTGAACACTGACTAGACATAAAAACAAAGCAAAATTTGAAAGTTAAGCAAAGAGGAGGTACTGAGAAGTGGGTTGGCACGCAGCTGTTGTTGGCTGCTAGTTAACTGAAGTCAGCCCTAAGGAAGGAACAGATCTGGAATGCAGCCAGACCCACCTTAACTAAAAGGCCACACAATTTCCATTTCTCTCAACAGACTCGGGGGATTTTCTTAAGAGAGACTGAAACCACTTTTTGACGTGCACTCAATCTATAATAGCCGCTGGTTACATGTGGCTGTTAAAGTTCAAATGAATGAAAATTAAATAAAACTGAAAATTCAGTTCCTCAGTCTCACTAACACATTTCAAATGCTCAACAGCCACACGTGCTGGGTGGCTAGCATCTTGGATCACAGATAATAGAATATTTCTGTTATCGTAAAAAAGTTCTGTTGGACAGAGATAATCTAGATAGGAAATTTAAATTACACACATAACCAGAAAACACATTAGGTTGGATCATCTAAAATGGGTCAAATTGACAAAAAGGTCAATTTCTGTTTCATCCTAAACAAGTAATTGTTTTAAATATATATTCTAGATTGTTTTTTAAAAGAAGTGAAAAGCTGATAAGAACAGATACTACACTTGATCTTAGCCAAAAGGCCAAGATATGAAAAGCTACTTGATAACTTGATTCTGCCCCTTGAGTTCTCCTCCAACCCTAGGAATTAGCATACTTTAATCGGGTAAATGCATGTTATCACAAACAAATCAACACTTAGTGTGATCCCCAAGCAGTAGTTGGGGAATCCCCCACTTATGAGTATGGTGTATTTTCATTGTTTATTTCTGAATCACTTTTTAAAACCCTATTATGCTCCAAAGTCAACCTAGAAAAGCCTGTGCAACTCATCAAATAACACAAGTTAGCATTTCTTGAGTGGAAATGATATGCCGGGTACTGGCCTGAGCCTTCTGTACATTCACCTTGTTAAATTCTGTTTTGTGTCTAAAATAGCTCCTCCTAAAGGAATTTTGAGTAACTCTACTAATGATCTTACCATTAAGGGAACTTTGAGTCTGAAATTCAGGGTGCTATGTGTTTTGTTAAATGACTCACCCTCTCTGAGCCTTCACTTATCGTTGATAAATCCACTTTCTCTAGCCTTAGATCACCACTCTCCAACTTCAATCCTATATTTTGTCCACATTCACATTTCTCTGGGTTTTAGAACAAGGAGCTCCCTCATACCCAGGGGCTTTTCTATGCTGTTCTTGAGTCTGGAGCACCACCCACAATGCCCTGAATTGCCCACCACACACAAACAGTACCTGCTTCACCCCCACTGTGCATCCCCCAGGACTGAGCTCAAATGCCACTTCGTCCCAAAAGATGCCCCTGATGCCCAGGCTGAGTCCGATTCCTGCAACGTGCACTTGTAAAACTGTGCTGTTCACTCAGAGTTCGATCTCAATGTGTATTTATAAATTTGTCAATTGCTGCCTGTCTTTTCCACCACACTCTCACCTTCATGGGAGCAGGATTCTATGTTTTGCTTGCTATCCTATCCCCAGCTTCTAGCATGGTGCCCAGCCCACTGTAGTGATCAAATGATCCTGAATTGAATACAAGCATTTCTGCTATAACATGATCAATAAGTTCCTAAAACATTTCGCACACGTGCAGCAATGTCATGTGTTTGGAATACCAGGGCTTATGGGGGAAAATTATGCTAGCATAGGTAACTCAAAACCTAGGAGACATTGTAAACCAGAGCACTAACAAAACCAATTAGCACCAAGAGCAACAACTTGAACAGCCCAATGAGACTGGAGGCTGTTTTCTGGGGGTGTTAAAAATGCAGAAGGTAGCCGGGCTCGGTGGCTCAGCCTGTAATCCCGCGCCTTTGGGAGGCTGAGGTGAGTGGATTGCCTGAGCCCGCGGGTTCGAGGCCCGCCTGGGCAACTTGGCAAGACCTCATCTCTACAATAAATCAAAAAATTAGCCAGGCATGGTAGCGCGTGCCTGTAGTTCCGGCTACTTGGAAGGCTGAAGCGGAAGGATCGCCGGAGCCCAGCAGGTCAACGCTGGGGTGGCCGGGAGCGGCCACTGCACTCCAGTCTGGGTGACAGAGTGAGACTCCAACTCAAAAAAAAATGCAGAAGGTAAAAGAGGGCAAAGGTGGGCTTGACACAGTAGGAACCAGAGTGAAGCAGGGAGGAGCACGTGGGGCTGCCTAGGGTGGGCACAAGGAGGCACAGCAGTTAAGAGTTAGAAAATGCCAGCTTGGGGGCTTGCCTCTCTAAGGAGAGAGCCCCAGTGAAGGGGTGCTCGATTCCATTTTACTCATATAGGGCCGAAATGGCTCCTCTCTCTGCAGTTGCTGAACTGAGGGCTTCTTTTTTAACTGAGGATTTTAATTCTCTTTCCATTTTTCTGGCACCCCCTGACTACAAAAATGTGTATATAAACCACCAACTTCCATGTTATATGGAAATAACTTATCACCTACTGTTTATAGAAATATACACCGTAGCAGAACAGACTTTATTGATGAGTGTTGTACAGATACATCCACTTTCTTTTCCTATAACCTCAAAAAAAAATTATCCTACTAATACACGCTGATGCATGTATTGAGTCATAAAAGTATCTTCCATCCATTCCTGACCAGCCCATCAACTTCTAGGAATCTCCACTTATAAATAGGGTACATTTGCATTGTTTATTTCTATATCACTTTTTAGAACCCTTCTGTGTTCCAAAGTCAAGCTAGAAAGGCCTGTGCAACTCATTAAATACCACAAGTTAGTATTTCTTTAAAAGAAAAAATATGCCAGGTACTGGCCTAAGCCTTCTGTACATTTACCTCATTCAATTCTAACATCCAGTACTCATAATGACACTTGGAGGTGAATTTTATTATTAGCCTCATTTTACACTTGGAAAAACACAGGTAAAACAGGTTAATAACTTGCCAGAGGTCACACAATTAGTTCATGTGCTCAACCACTTCACAAGAGTGGAGAAATACAACTAATCAAACATAAGAGTTAAACAATAAAAGTAAGCCATTCTAAGTTCATTTTGCAGTTCACTTGGAACACAGGTATTTGAATTTAGGGGCTGGTTTCTGGTGCAAGCCTCCTCCTCCGCCCTAAATTCCATACACTCCCCTCTACCATGTGCAACTGACAGCACAAATCCCCCTCGCACACCCGTCAGGTTCATCATGTCAGTTAAGAGCACACAGGAGCTCTCTATAGACTACTCGATCAGGTAATTCCCGCCTCCACAGCACCCCAGCTTCCTGTCCCCTCTTTCTGTCCTGTTCTCACAATGTCCATTTCGAACATAGCTTCCCTCCCAGGAAAA